AAACAATACTAAGGAAGGGGCAGTATTACGACAGCGGAAGTCACGCGACTCTGGGAGCATGCGCGCTGAAGTTTTTAGAAGGATCATGAATTTTCGTGGCAACTCTAGTTTGTTCGAAACGCCCTCTTTTTTAGTATATAAGCCTGACGAGTAAAACCAGCGCGAGATAGATAGATAGATTGCAGAGATAGGCAGATAGATCGAAGAGATAGGTAGATAATCGAGTCAAGCGAACAGTAGGCACCGTAATAAAGTGTGCGAATCACTGTGATTTATAGCGTGTGTAATAAAAGGTGTTAAGTGTATTACAAAGTTTGTATCGCTGAAGTTCCTCGGTAAGAATTTATACCGGAAATTAACAAACAAGCAGATACGCAACAAAATGAATGAATAACTAGAACTTACATAATAACCAATACTTACTGGTAGTATGGCATTGGATCAACCTGAGAGTGACATCGATGGAAAACGGAGGCGACTTTCAAAACGTTACATTCTTGAATTCCTCTGATTCGGGATTCCCAGTTGTGTCCACATGACGAATCCCGAGCTTTTGTTGAAACTAATGGTTTACACCGACGTTCGCGCCCTCTCTAAATTCAAAGCAAAACATATAGATAAGTAAACATTTATTTAAATCTGCAATCAATTGTACGTTAATAATTTGAAAAACTTCTATTAATAACCCTATTTAAGGAACAATTATTTTATATTTGCAATTTCGATGTTTAAGTTACTTTATATATGTATATGAATCACTTGCAATTAAGCTATTAAATAACATAGTTATTACGAACAAGGAGCGAAGGAAAAATAAGAACTTAGGAAAAATGCCTTTAATTGTAACGTATGCCTATCTTGAACTTTTCTATATTTTACCAAAGTCTTCGAAATGAGTTTTGTTAGCCATTTAAGTGTTCAGAATGAGCTGTTTTATATGTATGAAGAAGTTTGGTTTGTTACGAATTTCGCGCAAAGTTACCGAGGGCTATCTGCGCTAGTCGGCCCTAATTTAGCAGTGTAAGACTAGAAGGAAGGCAGCTAGTCATCACCACCCACCGCCCCCACGGTTGAAAAGGTGAGCATGTTTGGTGGTACGGGGATTCGAACCCGCGACCCGCAGATTGCGAGTCGAGCGCCCTAACCACCCGGCCACGCCTAAGTACGAAGAGAGTTTATTTGTTGTTAAGCGCACAGCCACACAATAGGCAGTCTATATTCCCACGACAGGCATAGAAACCCGGTTTTTAGTGTTATAAGTCTTCAACCACTGGGGGTACGAAGAGAAAAAAACGATATAATATTCTAAGTTTTTCAAACGAGTGCCTATTGAACTAGGCCGTATTTGGATTATTGTAATTCCTAACATAACTACGATTGACAAGTATTTATCTTCATTAAAAATGTATTATCCTGTAACTCGAACCAAGTCAACAAAAACCAGTAGGAAGAAAAAGAATACAAAAACTCTACTTCTCTGTAAATAATCTTTTGAACGAAACAATTTCATTGGTTCGCCTTTTCTACAACCTTACCTACACGTGTTTATTATTAAGAACAAAGTTACACAATGGACTATCTGTACTCTGCCCACGGCGGGTATTGAAATCCGACTTTTGGCGTTATAAGTCCGCAGACTTACCGCTGAGCTATCGGTAGGGTCTACTGCAGAGTGACAGTGGGAAAGACAGATTTAATTAAGTTAGGATTAAACGCTACACAACTGAGTTGAACTTGAGAATTTTCCATAATATAAAAATTTCGCTTTCATGTGTTTTAACAATACTTGGGTTGTAAATGAAATAAATACGAAAAAATAAAATAGCCCAGTTTTGACATTACAAAAACAAAATTATGTACATCACAATATTAATTTCTATATTCCTTAAGACCCCCACCCCCCATTTCCAATCTTGTCCATCGATCTGCCCTATTAAAAGAAATCTCACCCCATGCCAAATTGCGAGACATTTTTTGTGTTAACGATTGTACTTGAAAAATGATTTACAAAAGTCATAAAAGTTTTCTATCTGTAAACACAGGTACTAAGTTCATTGTTTCGTCTTTAAACCTGAATATCTAGGAAATAAAGTTTGTTTTGATCTTCAGTTTTACAGGTGAATTTTATATTAGGGTGTTGGGAGGTTAGATGATACGTTTTAACTCTTCTGTAACCATGAGCCCCACAGTGGTATGTCTGCGGACTTACAACGTGGTGGCCAGAGCACAGATAGCCCATTGTCTAACTTTGTGCTTAACTTCAAACAAATAAACCGTAACCATAAACACATTAACAAATTCCTTAACCACTTATAAGTGACACGTTCTTACTCTTCCGTAACAATGAACACATTAACAATTTCCTAAATCACTTAAACTCTCAATACCCTAATATAAAATTCACCCGTGAAATTGAAGACCAAAACAAACTTTATTTCATTGGCGTTCAGGTTCAAAGACGAAACAATGAATTTAGTACCTCTTGTTTATAGAAAGAAAACTTTTACTGGTTTATATAACAGGCATGGGGGTATTCGTCCTCGAATGCGTTCGAATACAGTTTTGGGAGTATTCATACTTGTATTTGAATACTCTGGGAGGAAAACTAAAGTATTCAAATTCGAATATAATGACATAGTATTCTTATTCGATGAATGATTTAGTGAATACTTAATATTGTAAGAGTAAATGTCAACTTTTGTGTTCAAATTTCTAGACTGTCATTACTACATCCGCAGTACGTTCAATCGGGTCAGTACTCTCCAACCACCTTAACAGTTATTGTATTACATGGTTAATAATCCAGTCAAGTCACTTGAGAGAATTTGAGTTGGCTACGAAACTGCCTTCAGTGGTACATGAACTCTTCATATTTCCTACCGATAGATCTGGTCACATCAAGAAAAAATGTATATATTATGAGTGGACTATTTCTATTTCCGGAAAAAACACTTCTAACCTGCTGACACATCTGAAGGTAAGCCTTTTTATTATTATTGTTAATAAGAACTATATTCTAAGTAAACTAACTTTCTCGTGCGTGTTAAACTATATATTTTTATTTTCATTCATTTAGTATTATATGCTTTTATTATCTTTATTATAAACTATATTCTATAATATATAATGTTATATTGTTTTTTATTATTATAAATTATGTTCTATATTATATTATTTTTTAATTATTTTTTATTGATAAACTATGTTCTATGTTATATTGTTTTTTATTTATTATAAACTATGTTCTATATTATATTATTTTTTATTATAAACTGTGTTCTATATTATATTGTTTTTTAATTATATTCTATATTATATAACTGAAATAAGCTTTTATATTTCTAGCGCAATCATTAGGCAGAGCTACATCTGGTTCTGGTACTTCCGTCCAGGTGCAGCAGCCTACAATAGCAGCGTTCTGTACAGAATCAACTAAATATAAGACTACACACCCACGTCAGAAGGACATCACTAACAAACTCGTCAATTCTATTGTCGGTGCACTGCAACCCTTCTCAGTGATGGAGTCAATATATTTTCAAGTTCTAATGGCAGCCATAGATTCTCGGTCTATTCTTCCCAGTTGCAAGCATCTGTCTACAACGTTAATCGAGAACAAATAAGGTGAAGTCAACAAAAAATAATCTCTTTCTACTGCAACTTCTACCCAACATCAATGTCACTGTGGATATCTGTGCAGCTTTCTTGGAGTCACTGGTCATTTTATAGTTGACTGGAAAATGCAATCAGTCATGCTGGCATGTCGGCGTTTCAAGGGGAGTCACACATCTGATAACATTGCAGCTCAATATGATGAAATAATAAATCTCTAGCATAAACAAGATGTCATATGTGACACCTGATAACGCATCCAACATGATCAAGGCTTTCTACTTGATTAGGTTTAAACCACAAACACTACCCAGTGACAGAGATGGTGACTCAGAAGGTGAACTTTTGGATGAATCTAAATCAGCAGACAATTTATCCAAATTTCTTCCAGAACATGACCCCTGCTTTTGCCACACGCTACAGTTTGCGGCCAGAGATGGCATGAAAGAAGCTGGACCACTGGTGAAAGTAATTTTCAAAGCATCAGTCATCGTATCCTACTTTAGAAAATCAACGCAAGCAACTGATCTACTTGAGGGAGAGGTCAGAGTTCAATCGGTAACAACACGGAAATTAAGATGATTATGTCTTTATTGAAGATTCGTCAGGAGAAGTTGGATAATCTAGATACTGGTACATCGAAACTTACTTTTCATGATCGAACTGTGCTTGCAGATTTGATGACAATACTGACATCAGGATCAGAGCATTGTTACTTCCAGTTATGTAGTGTCATGTGTTTATGAGCTGATGACTGAGATTGACAGCATGCAGTCCAGATATAATTTCAATCTTGTCTCTCCACTGAAGAAATCTGTTCATGTCCGGCTGACTCAGTATGAACAACGAATTGTCTTCTGCTTGGCTGCGGCATTGGATCCCAGATTTAAACTTGACTGGTGTTCCACAAGACCTATGGTCTATGAATCCAATCGAATTCTCCTACAGTAAAAAGTCAAGAAAGTTTCCTCAACAAATAATCCAACAACCATGGAACCAAAATAGGATTGTAACAACCCCCCCTTGCAAAATAAGTAAGCTCTTTAGTTTCTTTGTTGCTTCCAAGAAACCATCCACCTTATCTTCAGAGGATTCAGATGTCAACACCTATCTCGATGGTCCTTGTTTTCCCGAAGAAAACAACACTCTAGATTATATGAGGATCTCTACTAGCCAAACGCTACCTGAGTGTTCCAGCATCCTCTGCCCCCGTTGAGCGTTTGTTTAGCATCGGAGTCAAAACCCTCAAACCTGTTCGCTGCCGTCTCACTGATAAGACATTTGAGAGACTGATGTTTATAAAGAGCAATGGAAAGTTATAATATCTATAAGTCTCCTTTAAAAATATATCTTTTGTTCTAAAACTTTGTTATTGCATTTTGAAAAATAAAAGTATTGAAATGTTATTATTTGTTCAAATTTTGTTTGTTTCAGTTTGTAAACAGTTTGTTTCATAAAATAAAAGCATTGAAAGCTTCTTGTCTGCTGTTTTATCATTATTGCATATTACCTGACAAAGTATTCCTGAATATATTCCCATGTATTCGTATTCGAATACTTAGCATTTTTCCTATATTAGTTTTCGTATTTGTAATCATAAAAATATGAAGTATTCGTATTTGTATTCAATTACTGGTCTTCAGTATTGGTCCCATCCCCGTTATACAAACGGTTTGAAAGTTTACTGTAAATAAAGTATATTATGAGGCTAAGGAACAAGTAGAAAGCAATGGCATAGCTAAAACTTACTTTCCAATCATTACCGAAAATATCAACATCAGATACAACATTTCCATTTCTGGTAATAAAGTCATCCTTGGAATCACCGTTGTAATTTCCACAAAGTCCACACATCTGGTTCTTGAACTCTGGTGGTACAGACACTTCCAAAAAACTTCCCCCATCCCACATCATCTTAATTCCTATTAGACACATATGATTGTTTTTAGGATTCGGGAATAAAAACTTGTTGTGAATCATTAACATATTTAACCAGATCTTAACCAAAATAAAAAGTTTCAGACTCCAAATAATTAAACTAAATAACATTTAGTTCTCTGAGTTACTGCCTCGCTCGTTTAATTTGGCTGCACTTTTATTTATTAATCACAATCACGTTCTTTAAAACCTTCTTACGATTAAAGAAGTGAGGAATGGTTTTGAACTGCTATTTTAAATAATATTATTTATATTTATAGCATTAAACGGTTATAAACAAATCATTGCATTTTTAAAACTAATGGAATTTGTTTAGATATTTTACAATCAAGTTTTCATTACAGTTTAATGATCACGAGTAACCAAAGAGTGTGACTACTTCATATATTGATTTTCTACACTTCCAGCAGCATATAGCTTATTCTGTTTTAAATTATTGTAGTAAACAACGCTTTGGCATTTAGCACACACTTCGACACTACTAATCTTCCTATTTGGTGAATCTCTGAATTTGTATCCTCAAAGTATTATGTTTAGATGAAATACTTTGAATTTCATAATTGTTATTCAGTTAAAAACTGACATGAAGTATTATTCTTTTTTGGTGTTGAAAACAATTTAATGAAAAAAGAAAACATTTTAATTAAATAAATAGAGTAAACTTATAAAATACTTAAAAGTTAAAACAAAAATAAGGTATTTTCGATATCGGGAATCCTACAAAACAGTATTGCTGTACAATACTGTTGAAAAGGAAAACAAACAAATACTTAAATTGGTTCTTGTAATCAGAGGTATCAGGGCTGAAGAGTTTGTCTTGATACACCATGTATAGTTACTTCAGAAATTGAACGACTGTAATAACGGATGTCAAGTATATGGATAATAATGATAATGACGGGAACATGTCGACAATGTCACACTATGAATTAACTTTATTTTTTAGTATAAACTGTAAAAACACACCTCAAAAATTAAAAACAAATTCAATGCATGAGAGTTTTGCCAGTGAGGCTGTAGCAACTATCCTGTACAATAGAAAAAACATAAAATGTACATCCAAGTTGGTCGTTGTGTTGTAGCTTTCCTGTATACTGTGCTATCACAAAGAAATGCTTGTAGTGATGTCAGAATATTTCTGTCGTACGAAGTTAGTGTTACAGAGCCGTACCCGGCTACATATACGAGTTGGTGGTGTTGAAAAGGAATGCTTGTAATGACACTGGATCATTGCTGTAACATCAAAAAGAACAAAACCTTACCCAAGTTAGTTCTTGTAACGATGTTGTAGCCTTCTTGTACTATTGAAAAAGAACCCAGTTTAACGTATGGTAACTGGACTTTCTTCTTATTTATCTTCACCTTCATAAACCTAGCCATTCGTATTTTGCTTTCGCCGACCTAATGTGAACATAAACACATATACTGAAAACTTGAATTAGAAGTATATGAAATTCATCGACCTATTGTGAACATAAACACACACACACAGAAAACTTGAATTAGAAGTATATGAAATTCATCGATCTATTGTGAATACAAACACACACGCACACAGAAAACTTAAATTAGAAGTATATGAAATTCAACGACCTATAGTGAACATAAATAAACCCACACACAGAAAACCTTAATTAGAAGTATATGAAATTCACCGATCTATTGTGAACATAAACACACACGAAGAAAACTTGAATTAGAAATATATGAAATTCATCTACCTATTGTTAACATAAACGCACACAGAGACAACTTGAATTAGAAGTATATGAAATTCACCGACCTATAGTGAACATAAACCCACACACAGAAAACCTTAATTAGAAGTATATGAAATTCACCGACCTATTGTGAAAATAAACACACACGCAGAAAACCTTAATTAGAAGTATATGAAATTCACCTACCTATTGTGAACATAAACACGCACAGAGAAAAATTTAACTAGAAGTATATTAAATTCCACCAATGCCATTTTTATTAAACTTGAAACTTCCCCCAAAACTACACAATGCCCAACGTGTAATAGTTTTCAGTGAATGAGTGTTAAAAACTAACATAAGCAACTACGTATTCACTGTCATACCAAAAGTATAGGCCCGCGTAGTGGTGGCAGCGGTTCTAGTGATCAGTCCTAACGTATCCCACCTCTTGAACAAGTGTTGCTGTTTTAAAGAGTGTATACTAACTAGGTGTTAAGTGCAATTTGTCTCAAATTATCTCTCTAAACTCTACCAAATATAAGACTATAGTTAAATGATGATTAGATAGATTGCATAGCTAATGAGTGGAAACAACTAAACATATACACGTTGAATATATTTTTTAGGTGTTAGTAAACTTTCCCCTCTAATTAGTTTTTAAAACTTACGTTATGAAATCAAAAACTATACAACTAACCTTTATTTTGACAACTTTGGTCCAAGAGAAAGTCTTTGTGTGTCGAGGATCGTTGATAACTTGGATGGAAAAACTTTTATTACCTTTACAGTCGTTAGTCAGAAGATACTTGCAAGAACCCTGAAAGGTAAAGATACGGCCATCGAACGTCCTGTAGTGGGGGTCACCGAACACTGAGCACACGCCGTCTTCTGGGAGGAAGAACAGAAACATAATAATAATTTACATTCTCACTGTAGGAAGTATATAGTTATCTGATTATTTTAACTCTAGAATTACCGATAGGAAACATATGGACTTTTTAAATACATTTTACTAAACCATTTATGCACAAAACTGCATGTGGGTCTATGACTTTGTTGGCTACAGAATTCCTCATAATATATGGGTCATAAAAAATATAATAAAAATACCGTCAGTATGGCAGTTAGTCCTACTAATTACTTTATGTACCTTATGTGTTTTACATAGAAAAAAAAGGAGTGATTTCACCAAATTTTCTTGGTTAGATGTGGTAATGGGCAAAAAAGAAAAAATTACTGGTAGTAAGGATTTGAAAACAAGTCGGTAATTTGAGGATTAAACCGAAGTAAAATAATGGATATTTCATGTTGTTCGATTTGCAGCACTAACATTAAATTATTATTAGGCCGAAAATCAAATCCAAATTTAGCCAGCTAATACTGAATGTTTCAATATAATATTGTCGACCTTGTTGTGATGTTGTTAGAGGTTTATTAAAAGAAACCTCCCCTAATAATTGTTTATGTAAGTACAGATGTAGTTGAAGAACAAAATTGGACGCATTAATCTAGCAAATAGAATATTTCTTACTTGTATAAACTTAATTTGAGAAAAAATCTCAATCCTAATAATGGAGGTACTAGGTAACAAATTTGGAAAAATGGAGGCATCACGGAGAATAATTAAAAAAACAAAAAACAATATATTTTCTGTCCACTTGGGTGATATAAATATATATTTTCGAATAAAACAGTGAAACTTATCAATCAGTTAATTACATTTTCTGATTGCATTATACATATTTCATATTAATTACCTTTTCTGATTGGACGTTACAGACTGTTTTATGACAGGTTATGTTTTGTGACAGGATAATACAAAATACTCTGAAACAACTTAAGTTTTCCACTTGAATAATATAAAATACTGTACGTCAGATTATTTATTTTGATTTTTGTATTCATACCTTCCACGCATGTTGGACAGCATACTCCTGGTAATGTTTTCAGTTTATGCCGCTTGGGGCAGGACTGTCGAAAGCACTCCAACGCAGCACACATAACCTTACCATCTTTACATGAACACGTAGTACACCTTTCTTTTTTCCAACTTTCTCCATCCTATTGTTTTTCAAAAATATACATATATTACGAGCACTGAACTTAAATACTCTCCAATTATACGCTGTCAATTGATCGCACATAATAAGAGCACATTCTAATTGTAAAAAAAAAAGCCTATTTGTGTCAACTTTTGAGTTAATTAAAATATTCCGTTTAGTACAAATTCTAGAGTTTAATTATCCTGAAATCAAGTAGACGGTTTGTTTGTTTGAAGTTAAGCACAAAGCTTCACAATGGGCTATCTGTGTTCTGTACACCACGGGTATCGAAACCCGGTTTCTAGCATTGTAAGTCCGCAGACATACCGCTGTGCCACTGGGGTGGGGGGCATCTAGTATGCTTTGAAGGATAAATATACAGGGTGTCCCAAAAGTCTAGAACTATAGGTGATTTACAAATTGTCGTAAATTCAGACATGTGACTGATTACGGCGCTGTCAAAGCATGAGAAAGTAGCGTTAATCCAAACTTGTTTCGAATTACAAGGTCAGCATGTGGAAGACATTCTGTAAAATTTGTTGAGGTGCCTATGATTCCAGGCTTTTCGGTCATCCTGTACAGTGTTTTTAACACCATTCCGCTCACGTTTCTCGTGCAATTCTAATATGCATAATATTGCATATAATAAGATAATATATGTAAATGTCTGAAAACAAGAGCTTTTCAAAAATGCAACTTTTTCGTAATTTTCAAATTTCGTGAAGTTCAAAGGAAATTGAAATAAAAGAATTCAATAGGTTTCTTTTCTTTTTTACAGCACTTACTAGTTGAGTGCTGCGGGTAGACCTATGAGATTTATCAACATATCAGAACTGATCATCGTATCTTTGATTTGTAACGTAGTGATTACTAGATACCATACCTGGTATATTCGTCCACCGTCCCCGCATGTTGCTTTACTCTCCTCTGGTTCTCGACATCTGTAGCAACATTGATTTGGTAAGAACTCTTGGAAATCTGGTGGACAGTGGACAGGCGGACACACCGTCCGTTGGCAAATTGTAGTGGAGTTCTGTCGTGGAAATGAAAAACGTAAGATTGGTTAACGTACTTTATCTTAACAATGTATTTAACTGTACAATGGACTTAATTTTATACTCATTTAACACAAAGAAGTCAATGAGAATTGTTTTACTTTTCAGTTGTTCTAATAATTGTTATTTTTAATGTGAAATGTTTTCTTAAGTCAAGTCCATTACCCCTGCAGAGTTTTAAAATAAGTGTTACGACAGCGGAAGTCACGTGACGCTGGTAACACGTGATGAGTTTCTAGAAGGATCATGAAGGCCCGAGTGTTTGCCAGACGTCGACTATTTTAGTATATTAACCCGGCAAATTTGCAGATAGAGAGATATAGAGACAGATAAATGAGTCAAGCGAGCTGTAGTGACCATAAGTCAAGTGCATGAATCGTTGTGAATTATAGCGCGTGTTTAAGTTAAAGTGACTGTGGAAATTAAGTGTATTGCAAAGTTTTATTGAGAAAGAATAAACTAGTTTTCATTAAGAAAGGACTTGTATCGCTGAAGTTCTTCGGAAAGAATTTTTACGGGAAATTAGCAAACGAACAGAGACATAAAAAAATTAAAAATTTTTTAAACATTTCAATAACAAAAATAAGGAAAGTTTTAATTATGTTGAACCTTTAATTTAAAAAACTGAGATTTAAAATATCATTTTAGAATATTTTGCTGAGCTTGAATGTTTTATTTTGTGATATCTTTTTGCTTTTTTGCTATAAATATGTTTTCTTATTTTTATTGTCTTATAGTAACATTGACGCATGTAAACACGAAATTTCCAACTTACTTTACACGTGCAGTTGGTGCAACGGTCAAAGACCATCGTTTGCTCGTGTTTGATTAGTGTCATTCCAACTAAACAACTTCCGTTGAAGTTGTTAAATTTACGATTACCTGAAAAAAAAACACAACACTTATCTTTTTAAGACGTCAGTTATAATATTTAGTTTCTGAGAATCAATTACTGATTTTAATTTTTAGAAATATTTAAAACTGATTAAAATCCTCCAATATCAACAGTGGACACCTCCTATTAAATAAAAATATAAATTATATGGAATGCCTGTTTGAGGAATAAGGTTAGAATTTTCACAGTTGGATCAACAATCAGAGACGTCGCTAGGTGCTTAAAAGATTCGGGCCCATAGCCCCTCCCCCAAGAATAATTAGATGTTTAAACATTTTGCAGAACACAAAATACAAGTATGTATTGAACTACAATAGTAAGATGAAACAAGCTATACAGTTTGTTAAGCGAATTTAAACAACCACATAGTAAGTGTAAATTTAGAAATGTAAATCGATCCTGTATAAACACATAATTGGACATCGTACTTTTATGTAAGGTCAAAGAACTTTCGTCATGTTTCTAGGTTGTTCTACTAAAATACAGTCTTTTACTATGCACCGCAGAAACGCAACTTGATAACTTAAAACCTGGCTTGACCAATGGCGATTCTCCTTTTTGCGGGAGAAGGGCAAGGCTCCGCCCTCGCCGCACCTTGTACTGAAGGCCACCAAGTTTGGCACTTTTCCCCCCGAGTTCCAGAACTCGCGAGAATTTTCGGCGTTTCACTATGATATTGATCATGGTTTTCTATTCCGATTTTTCAAAAGCACCTAATGGATTCGGGTTACTGTCAAATAGAATCGGGGCCTAGGCCCCTGTGTGTCAGTGCCTAACGACGCCTCTAGTAATAATGGTGGATATCTAAACAACTGTAAGTTATGGAGTTGAGCTGAACAACTTCTACGATAAGGAAATATCCTACAAGTCAACAGTGTAAAACAGTATCTCAATTGTATATGATACTTACGATTTTAAGGACTATCCAAAATAAGACTTTAAAAGGTAAAATATCTTAGTGAAATGGTAGAATGAAATTAGTAACTTCCTTGAACGTTCTGTTTGTATCAACACCTCCACCCTCATGCAGAAATAGCTAAAGGTGCGTGCAGTAGACGAGAAGAGTCTTACTGATCATTGTCGTAATGTAATTCTCATCATTTCACAAAATTCACGACAAGTTGTTAAGATTCAGTGCTAATGGTCTTAGCATCGCAAGTAAAATGGTGTCTTTCCAAGTCATTCCAACATATCAATACTGCACAGATTCCATAGCGATTATGTTTATATACTACAAAATTAGCCAGAATTTAATGCAACTATGATGTATAGTATTCCTTCACAACTTTTGTTCCAGATAACATTTTAGATAACATTAAATAGTCTCACAGGTGGGCATGAACAACCACTGGGTATTGAAATCACAAAGCAGTTAAAATGGAATGTTGTGAAAAGAAACATGAAAAACTGAGCGATGTTTCTTCCTGCATTTCAAGTCTGATGATGGAAGAAACGTCGCCTAATTTTTAACGCGTTTCTTTTAACGATGCCCTATTTTAAGGTATACATTAGCACATTTTCAGATATTTTGTTCAATCATTGTAGGTACATATTTACTGATTTACCAGTAGAACACCTTAACCATCTGGCCAAGCCAGATCAAGCAGCCAATAATCTTTTCTTTCAGAAAAACCTATTCCTCTAAAGACAAAGTACGATATCTGGGCTTAGGTATCAGTATCATTAATCAAACATTCACATTTGTACAAAGATACACAATGGGCTATCTATGCTCTGCTCACCAAGGGTATCGAAACCCGGTTTCTAGCATTGTAAGTCCGCAAACATAATGCTGTGCCACTAGGGGGCGGAATACGCGTTGTTCTACGGTTACATTTTCCAAACAAATTCACTTCTACAAACGTAACTCAAGCCCACAACAAGTATTTCTGTGTTTCCAAGTAAAGTATACTATGTTATTTATTCATTGTTACTTTCATTAACAATACTGGTTATAATATTTAATTTATCGATTGTCGTTAATTTTTATTTTTATTTATTGTTTATTATTATATATACTTTTATTATTAAGATTGTTTTGCATTGTTAGTATATAGACTAACGTTAATCTCCTAAGCTAGCCGAACCTCCTGAGACATCGTTGGGATTACGACCGAAAATATCGTTAACAGCAAGGGTGCCCAGTTGATGAAATAATGTATTCTAATCTTTATAAGTAGAAACGTAAGAATAATATACTTAATCAGCTATACTGATTGCCAGGTTGATTTTTAGTTTCGCAGTAAATACAAAGCTTGCTCTGATTGGAAGTCGATGTAGCTCGTACTATGAATATCATGTTAGATGGTGTTGGGGCACATTTACATCTGTAGCAACCTTCGATGTTGGTCATTCTACAAACTTCTCCTGACAGCATGAACAGCCCATTCTTTTGGTTTGAGGCACCCGGACAGTGAAGAAACTGTTGTTAATTAAGGTAACTGGAGCTGCATATGTAACCCTGTATAGTTATTTTGGACAGCGTTATTGTAAGTGACCTGGCAATTTTTTGCTGACTTTGATCATCGTCCCATCGTCCTAATATGTGAATTTGTGAAAATATGATCAATTCCCGAGTTCTTTTTGTATTTATGCGTAGGTATTATTTGCACATGGTGTCATGGGGATGGTCGACTTGTATTCTAGAGGGGATGGCTACTTATTTATTAGTAGGCCATATATATATATGTATATCAACTTAAATAGTCTCTGTAACATAGTAATATTAGTGTGTGGTCTGAAACCAGAAGATGTATCTAACCAACATGTTTTCAGTAAATGTGATGAAATTCCAACCCATATTTCATATGTGTTTATGTATCTAACATTTTTCAATGGATGTCAAGAAGTTCTCACAAAAAATTACACAAGTCTACATCATGACCAATTTTTAAGTAATTGTGAAGAAGCCCTTGTCACAATCTCATACAAATATATATAACAAAAACATCTTGGGTGGATGACAAGTAGTCCTCTGTAAAGTCTTACATAGACATATACAACAACCACATTTTCAGTGGATGACAAGTAGTCCTCAGGAAAGTCTTACATAGACATATACAACAACCACATTTTCAGTGGATGACAAGTAGTCCTCAGGAAAGTCTTCCTGTGGTTGTTGTATATGTCTATACTTGTCATCCACTGAAATAGTCCTCAGGAAAGTCTTACTGTGGTTGTTGTATATGTCTATTTTTCAGTGGATGACAAGTAGTTCTCAGGAAAGTCTTACATAGCCATATACAACAACTACATTTTCAGTTGATGACAAGTAGTCATAAGTAAATTCTTACATAGACAAATATAACAACTAGTAAATGTCAAGTAGTCCTCGGTCAATTGTGATATAGATCCATGTATAAACGGGTAAGGTTTCAGTAAATTTTAAGTTCTGGTTTCCTGTTTTTGTTTTACAGAATTCGTAGTAAACGGAGAAAATTATAGTTGAAACTACTTATGTAGTCATGGAAATATACTCGTTGATATCAATATTCTAGTTCTCTATGTTAGAAAAACTTCAATGGTAGAACTAGGACGAAATTTGTATCACATAACGTGTATTTTGACAAATGTTTTTTTTTACACTAATAAAACCAGAATATTATCACTTTTTTCTTTTATTTGTAAGGGCTAACGTTAAGTTTTATTTTGTATTTAGGGAAGGTCCACAAATCAAATCCCGGTTTTCGTGTTATTGTTGTTATTTCCTTAGTGCAAGGCTACACCAATGGGCTACATGCACTCTATCCACCACGGGGAATGTTTAGTTTTGTAGTCCGTTAACTTAACCACTAACCCATGTTTAGCTTTGTAGTACGTAAACTTAACCACTAACCCATATTTAGCTTTGTAGTCCGTAAACTTAACCACTAACCCATGTTTAGCTTTGTAGTCCGTAAACTTAACCACTAACCCATGTTTAGCTTTGTAGTCCGTAAACTTAACCACTAACCCACAGGGGTACGCGAGACACTGGGCTTTTGTTAAGTACAGGCTTTGTACTTTGTAATTTAGCCTTCCCCAATCGCTTAATCATAATATGGAATTTAAAAAAATCGATTTCCCATGTGCACTATCTTGTCTTCATCATCTGCGTATAACACAGCGAAAATTGTAATTTTCTGCTACCTGTCATGAGGCCCTACCCTACCCTATAATAAGCAGTAGAAATATATCATTGCAAGTACACATGTTAAATATATACAAAAATAATGTGCTACAAATCAACCACGAACATTTAATTTTTTTCACGTTCTGCCAGCACCTTCAGACTTCATGCCCGTAGTTCTGGAACATAAGTGTAAAGCTACTTAATGTTCTAATAAAAACAACAAGCCTTAAGACAAAAAATGTCCGTTTTGTACTGAAGGGTAATAATTACTCATAGTGTGAAGTTTAGTATTATTAGAAGTATTGTCATATGAATAATTATCAGTTTATCTCTAAAAATGTTTAGTGAGAATGTAGAAAAAGATTGGCAATAATATACTGGAAAATTGAGCTATCTTAGGCCATAATATAGAGATGTAGGAAGATTGTAAGAAATATAGGAATTACAGAGATGAGAGAATTGTAATACGCACGACTCAACTTAAGCAACAGCTATTGTCACCAATAGATGACGCCACAAACATTGAAATACTCCTCTTTTACTTTCTTTCTTTCTCTCCCCCCCCCCCCCTCTTTTCTTCTTTCAATAGCGAAAAATAATAGTGTCTCACCTTTGCAACTTGGACAGCATTCACCAGGCTTGATTGTATATTTATATTCAGGGCAAGGTAGGACAGGACACACAGTCTTTATACACGCAATGTTCCCTTTCTGTTTAGAAAATATAAAAATAATGAGGACCAGTTACTCTACCTAAAATACTGCTATTTGCAAGGTTGTACAAGATGGCGCACAATGAATCACCCAACAAAGGAAAACTAAACGACACGTAATACAAAATAAAACTTGCTTTATGATTAAACATAATCACTGAACTAGTCTAACATAAGAAATGTTCCAAAATTTAGCATCGTTGTCAGTGCATTGTTACATCTATCGATGACTGACATGTACACTTTGTTGTCAGTGCATTGTTACATCTATAGATGACTGACATGTACACTTTGTTGTCAGTGCATTGTTACATCTATCGATGACTGACATGTACACTTTGTTGTCAGTGCATTGTTACATCTATCGATGACTGGACATGTACACTTTGTTGTCAGTGCATTGTTACATCTATCGATAACTGACATGTACACTTTGTTGTCAGTGCATTGTTACATCTATCGATGACTGGACATGTACACTTTGTTGTCAGTGCATTGTTACATCTATCGATGACTGGACATGTACACTTTGTTGTCAGTGCATTGTTACATCTATCGATGACTGACATGTACACTTTGTTGCATAGGTTTAAAGTTATGAGTCTGAAATGTCAAACTGGTATGTTAGTGAAGGTTATCCAAGTTTAACGGCTATGTTTTATACACCTGATCACGTAAATATTCTCACATGAAAGGAATGTTGCAACAAATATAACTGAAGTAGTATCTTTATCGAGGAGGGGAGGGCTTTCTACGACTCGCCCTCTATATTTTTCATTTTGATTTACAGTAACGAGGAACAGGATACACCATATTTTTTTTACGCACACAATGATCTATTGCAGTTAGAAAAACCGGGAACTTATCAGGACAATGTTTATAGATATCAGTAATATTGTTTGTAGGATTTTCTTTAAGATCTGCACATTTTTAGATGTAAACGTATGGCCGTCGGCATGTTCTCAGATCTAAATAGCATTGTTTAAACCAAATAACGTTAATTAGTTGGTTCTCAGACGCATGCGGATGATTTTCTAGCCTGAGTGAGGAATGTTTTTCTTCTTTTATTCCTATTAACAACGAGAATGCTGTTTAGAATAAATATCATGACTAAATTACATTACAATCGTGCCCTCCAGTGGCTCAGCGGAGAGTCTGAGGGCTCATACCGCTAAAAAACCCGGGTTTTGATATTCGTAGTAACTTTATGCTTAACAACAAACAAACAAAAATAATAAACATATACCATTCTTGAAAGGCTCATGGATGAGCATGGCTTTCTCTGATTATCTTGGTAAACGACTGCGAACTAGTTTTTTTTATTTATATTTATTGCTTTTTACATGGCCTTAAATAGTTACTTTTAAAATCAGGCAACATTGATTTACGGAAGACATCTGTTTGTAATATTGACATGAATGTTATGTACTGATCCATCTGTGAAGTTGATGCATAGTCATCTCAACGATTTAGTAAAGTATTAGGTCGTCAAGAAATTAATGTCGTTTTTTAAGATGAAAAAATCCGAAAATTTATTAAATGAAATAGACTCCATTCTTATCGGTGATGCTTTTTCATCTTACAATCAGGTTGTTAATGCCCTGATTAAAG